GCTGCTCAAGTCCAGGAGCCAGGGGATCAAGTCACCGCTCGACTCTAGACGATTTAACTAGACAACTGAACGCCTTGAGACGGAATATTGGTGAGAAGAAACCGACCGTTAAGTGCTGGAACTGCGGTGCTGAAGGACACATACGACGAAACTGCAGAATACCCCCGGGTACGAATGTTAAGACCGCTTCTAACAAGCAGCAGGGAAACTAATTAGTGGCCATCTCGCGGGGCGGAGGTTGCCAGATAATGAAAAGCCCCCGTTTAAAGCGCTTCAGATTTCTGCAGTGAGAGGCGGCAGTAATGGACTTTTCATAATAGGACATATTAATGGAGTTCCCTGCAATATGACTATAGATACAGGAGCCAACGTTACCATCATCCGAAAAGATTTGGCTCAACAACTAGGAAACAAACTTATCTGGACGCCGCCCTGCGTTACCCTCCAGACTGTGTCCGGTGAGAAGATCGACATCGACGGAAAAGTAAATGTTAACATCACGTTTGGAAGTGCCGCTTACCATCACACGGCATATGTAGCAGAGATCACTGATTCTTGCATACTCGGATTGGACTTTCTAAGGAAATACAATTTTTCCTTGGATTTTAAAAATAACGAATTGCATTCTACATCTGAGGACATAGCGTTATTTCTCGTTAATGATGAAGAAGTTAAATCTGTCCATAAAATCATAGCACAAGACAATATCACAATACCGGCAAGAACAGAAATTTTACTTCCTGGATCCATAGCCGAAAATAGAAATTTCCGCTACGGCATCATAGAATATCCCAATAACTGTAATAGCCCAAAAGGAGTACTAGTAGCCTCAACACTCGTCGACCTATCCAGAACGGTTATCCCGGTGAGAGTCGCCAATGTAACTGAAAAGGTCGAGAGTTATTAAGAAAGGTGAAGTGGTTGCAACATGTACTCCAGTAACCAGCGTTGAAAAGAAAGAGTAACATCCCAGAATCCGTGTCCTCAGAGAGCATTACATCGGAGTTATTGCAGAATGCGCAATTAAACGATAAAGAGAAAAATGCTGCCGATCGCGTCATTAAAGATCTTCAAGTTGTTTTTCTCCCGCTCGTCTTCTGACGTGGGTCGAACTAGTTTGACACAACATAGAATAGATACTGGCGATCATCCCCCGATCAAGCAACATCCAAGACGTCTACCGTTTGCTAAACAGGAAGAGGTGCGAACACTGTTAAAAGATATGGAAGAAGGCGATGTCATCGAGCCTTCAGCGAGTCCATGGGCATCTCCCATCGTTCTCGTCAGAAAGAAAGACGGCTCAACAAGATTTTGCGTTGACTATCGCCGGTTGAATGAGGTTACGAAGAAAGACAGTTACCCTCTTCCTAGAATTGACGACATTCTAGACACTCTTTCTGGAAGCAAGTGGTTCTCAACACTTGATTTAAAGAGTGGGTATTGGCAGGTAGAAATCCATCCTGATGACCGAGAAAAGACGGCATTTACTACGGGACAAGGCTTTGGGCAGTTCAAAGTGATGCCGTTTGGACTGTGTAATGCGCCGGCAACATTCGAACGTCTTATGGAGACTGTTTTGAAAGGCCTTTCCTACGAAGCCTGCCTGATATACCTGGACGACATCATCATCGTCGGAAAGAGTTTTGAAGAACATTTAGAAAATCTTAGGAAGGTGCTTCAGAAACTGAAAGAAGGCCAATCTGAAGCTGAGTCCCGCTAAATGCAAATTGTTCCGAAAGGAAGTGACTTACCTGGGACATGTCATCTCTGCAGAAGGTGTGCGCACGGATCCTGAAAAGGTATCAGCGGTTAAATCCTGGAACGCGTCCCGAAAATGTCCATCAGCTGAGAAGCTTCCTAGGGCTTTGCACCTACTATAGGAGATTCGTGAAGGACTTTTCTTCCATCGCAAGACCCCTTCACAAGCTGACAGAGAGCAAGCAAAGATTCTTGTGGACAAAAGAATGCGAGGATGCATTTAACAACTTAAAGGAAGCTTTAACATCTGCTCCAATCCTGACGTATCCTCAGCTCGACAGACCATTTATTCTCGACACCGACGCGAGCAATGAAAGTGTCGGTGCTGTTTTGTCCCAAGAAATAGACGGCCAAGAACGTGTAGTAGCGTACTGGAGCAAGTGCCTGTCTAAACCGGAGAGGAATTATTGTGTCACCAGGAAAGAGTTGCTCGCCATAGTCAAAGCTGTAGAACATTTCCATCACTATCTATACGGCAGAAAATTCCTCCTCCGCACCGGATCATGCATCATTGACCTGGCTTTTAAATTTCAAGAATCCTGAGGGTCAAATAGCCAGGTGGATACAGAGACTCCAAGAATATGACATCACTATCCGTCATCGTAAGGGATCATCACACGGAAACGCCGACGCCCTGTCTAGAAGACCTTGCCAAGAAAACTGCCGATATTGTTCCAGGGTGGAAGCGAAATACGAGCTGCTGACTCCGGTCGCAAGACAAATTACAACATCAACATCGGCTGATCGAGAACCGTGGAGTGATGATGAAGTCAGGAAAGACCAGCTGGAAGACCGCGACATTAAACCCATAATTGATTTAATGGAGTCATCAAACAGAAAACCTACCATGGCAGGACATTTCTATCTGTAGTCCTACAACAAAACAATACTGGGCACTCTGGGATTCACTTCACATTCGAAACGGCGTCTTATACCGGAAATTCGAAGTCGGATGATGGGAAGACGTTCCGATGGCAACTGATACTTCCAAGATCCCGGATTCCTGATGTCCTTAAAGAACTACATAACAGCCCTACAGGAGGTCACTTTGGAATTATGAAGACCTTACAGAGAGTTCGTGAGCGCTTTTACTGGAATAATGCAAAGGATGACGTGCAAAAGTGGTGCCGATCTTGCGATGCCTGTGCAGGTCGGAAAGGACCGAGGAGAAACGCAGCCGAGGCAAGCTGCAACGTTACAACGTAGGTGCGCCGTTTGAACGTATCGCCTTTGACATCTTGGGACCTCTGCCACGAACTGCTGATGGCAACAAATACATACTCGTTGTCATTGATTACTTCACCAAGTGGCCTGAAGCTTATCCTATTCCTGATCAAGAGGCTGTCACAGTAGCTGAGGTAATGATACAGCACTGGATTTCCAGGTTCGGAGTGCCTCTTCAGTTACATTCCGATCAGGGAAGGAATTTTGCCTCGGCAGTAATCAAAGAACTATGCAAACTACTCGGCATTGACAAAACTCAAACGACGCCATTGCATCCCCAGTCGGACGGCATGGTAGAGAGGTTCAATCGAACCATCCTTAATAACCTCTCATTAGTGGTTTCCAGAAACCAACAGGACTGGGACAAGAAATTACCACTCTTTTTACTGGCTTACCGCAGTGCTGTCCACGAGACTACCGGCTATTCTCCATCACAGATGCTCTTCGGTCGTGACCTTCGTCTGCCTTGTGATCTATTGTTTGGCCGCCCTCCGGATGCTCCTTCATCGTCTGAGGAATATATTCAAGATCTCCAGGCCCGGTTTGAAGTGATGCACAACTTTGCACGAGAGCGAGTCAACTTGGCGACGGGGAAGATGAAGACCCGATACGACACAAGAGCTACTGAACATCAATTCCACGAAGGAGACAAGGTGTGGTTGTGGAATCCGACTCGACGGAAAGGACTTTGTCCGAAATTACAGTCACCTTGGGATGGGCCGTACACAGTCCTAAACAGGCTGAATGACGTCGTGGTTCGGATTCGTAAGTCTTCGAACTCTAAACCTAAAGTCGTTCATTACGACAGGTTAGCTCATTACTATGGCCATAGTACATAATGTAAATAATTGTAAATAGTATAAGACCATGGTCCTTTTTGTTTTTAAATGTGTATTTTATTTGATTTAGTATTTGATAGCATTTGATTTGTTTTAGTTAGTTATTGCATTTATTGTTCATGTTGTTTTATATTGTAATGTAATGCTTATTAATGCATTTATGCCACAGTTGTAAGTTTTGCTTCCTGTCCAGGGATTGTACTGCCCGGGACGTGCAGTCCTTGGGAAGGGGGGGCAGTGTTACGAATTTGGTATTTAAAAAGCTAATGTTAGTTCAATTAGAAATTAAATGGTTTTATTTCTCGCGCAGTGCAGCGCGTGACGAATATTAAAAGAAAGCTAAGCCGGAAAATTGAAAATACAAGAGCGCGTGCATTAAATAAATAAATATCTCTTTTTGATTTCGAGAAAGTACTGGAAAATTCTAGCGCGTGATTTTAAAATCTTATAAAAGGAGGAAAACATCTCAGTTTGTAGTAGTTGCTTAGTTTATTGTTGTTTAGAAAACTACTGTTGTTGATTGTAGCGAATTCGCGGATTAGCGTTCTTTAGCTGTTTTGAATTACGTTCTATTGACATTTGAGTAGTTAAAAGAAAACTACTGTGAGATATTGTAATACTGCATGATAATTTGAGAAAATTTAAGCATTTTTGTTGTGATAATAATAAATTTTTGTTCATTTTTCATCGGACTTGTGCATTCATTTCATAACGAACCCGTACGCACGCAACAATATTTTTGTCATTATATTTGAATTACTATATGTTACAACAAAATGTGTTGCAAGTACCAAATTTTAACTAAATCTGACCCATCAGCTGTTTTCAGATTGTGCATTGTGCATTCGGCCACATGTAATATGAGTTTGCGACCACTGATATGCAGTATATGTTTTTTAAATATGAAATTAATTAGATGTCTTATGTATTTTATGTCTTATGTAGTTCATGTTATTGGAAAATATATGTATGGCTAGGAGCGAAACTTTTAATTTGTTTAGTAAGTGATGCCCCAGGAAATTTTAAGGCATGTAGCTTGCCATTTGTTTTCATATTCTATGCTAGCCTGAAAAGTGATAAAAATTTACAGCCGTTCATAATAAAATTTGCAGTTGTTGATATAGCTTCTTAACTTATTTCACTATCGTTTACGATGCAATTTCTGTATCCTTTACTTACCAACTTTGGTGCTGAAAAACACTGATGACTTTAAACACGAGCAACGGTCGGCTTCCTTGTTACACCACGATGGAAGCTCATTCATACCTTTACAGGGATTAGTAAGATACATCATGATCTGCAGAGCTTCAGTCGGTGTAAATATATCTGGATGGTCCTTCACTAAGTTGCTGAAAATTTTAGTTTCCAAGACGAGAAATCTAAGACACTTGAGCACTGGTTCAATAGCAACTCTCCTACTGCTCGCATTTTGGTGTTTTGCCCAGCTGAAAACAGCTATAATGAGTTCAATTTCAGATGTAAGATTGAGGCTTTGTAGTTTACAGATGGTTCGAACTACAGATAAAGGAGACTTCATGAAGTCCTCTGTCCTGAAAAAATATGTCCTCATATAAAAAGAATAAATGACATTTACCACGTTTCTGATACAATATTAGATCCACTTATCAAAGAATATCAATAGTAAAATTCTCTGGTCTTTTTCAACAAACAGTCGAAAAATTTTCAACACAGCAGGATTTCTGAATTCTGTCTGTATGATTATAAATACAAGGTAAGTTCTAAATGAATTAAATTAAATTAAATTAAACGAATATTAGGCCATTAAAAATTTCATAATACAAACAAAGAATGCAACAGAGTTTAAAATTTGTCTCAAATTTTTTAGTATTTTTAATATATCATCTAGATATAATTTGCTCCGACTTGACGACAAAAAAAAAAAAAAAAAAAAAAAAAAAAAAAAAAAATACTGCATAAAATTTAAACACATCTTTTAGCTAGCTTATTGATTAATTTAATTTGTAATTTTAGTTAGTAGGATCAATTATTTAATTATTTATTTGGTTATACAGAAATAAACACTTTTCATCACAGAATATATGGTCTCACGTTGAGTGGTTAGGCACTGGAAGGCGCTTTCCATTTACACAAATACGCCGTCTTTACAACGCAAAGACAAATGATAATATCCGTCTTCTCCTAAATCGTAAACTGGTGACTTGTGAGAGCAGATCCGGACACATGGGGAGGCTTACTAGGACTATTCAGGTATCCTCCAGAATCCGCAACTGTACACCGCCAGAACTTTTTGGCGCTCCAGAAGCGCAGCGTCGGGAGAGCTTAATAGAAACTTTTGTTGGTGCTGTGTACTGAGATTATATATTTTACACAATACAACAATGATACACTGATGCCCACTCTTGGATACAGGCCAGTTCTACAATGATACATACATACACACACACATATATATACAGTATGTAGACTGGTGTAAGAAATTAAGAGAATTTGTTATAATAGGCACGCATGTTCGAGTGTAACACTCATGGGAATCTGAAAGTCTGAAACAGCGGTTGCAGAAGACTCAAACGAAATGGGTTAATAGGGGCTATGGTCCCCTCTTACAGCCATACAGGCATCGCAGCGTAATGTCATACTGGAAATAAGGCAGTTTATCAGTACCTGTGGCAATTGGTCCCGCTGATTCAGCAACGCTGTTTTCAGTTCCTAGATGGTTCTCGGAAGGGTGTTGCGAGTTGCAATTGCCCTCTCCAGAGAGTCCCAGACGTGCTGTATACGATTGAGGTATGGATACCTGGCTGGCCAATCCATCTGGCCAATATGCTCACTCTCGAGAAATTCGTCGACCAGAAGAGCTCTATGTGGCCTCGCGTTATCTTCCTGCAAGATGAACTCGTGGCTCACTGCACCCCGGAAAAGGCGAACATAGGGCTCCAAGACATCATCACTATACCTCACACCAGTCACAGGGCCTCTTCAAAGACGTGGAGAGGTGTGCGGCCATCCAACATGATGCCTGCCCAGACCATTACACCGCCAAGGCCATAATTGTTGATTTCTCGGACATTGGAGGGTAGGTAGCGGCTCTCTCCATATAAAAGTACGGCGAGAATCGGTGTTTAGGCGAAAACGGGACTCGTCGGTTAACAGAACGGTCGCCCATTGCTCCGTACTCCAATCACTATGCTGCCTGCACCATGCTAATCGAACTCTCCTGACCGTAGACGTGAGCGGGACGCAAACAGCCGGTCTTCTGGCAAACAACCCTCTCTCATCCTGTCTTTTGGAAACAGTCACACTTGTTACACGGGTTTCTGTGGCTGCATACAGGTCCCGAAGAGCTGAAAAGCTGTAGCCCGTCTGTTACGCCTCGCTGAAATGGACAAATAGCAATCTTCTCTGGCCGTCGTCGCTCTTGGGCGTTCTTGCCCAGGCTTTCTCTCGATGGGTCCAGTATTCTGGCACTGTTTCCATAGGTTATATACGACGCTGGGCGTTAAATTAAACTCTCTGCATATCTGGCCTTGCGATTGGCCTGCCTCTAGCCTCCCCACAATTCGCCACCTCATTCCATGATCTAAACGTTGGTGGTTACTCATTTTTACTGTTCCGATGTGAATTTAACCGATTGTTGCAAGATAACACCAAGAAATTTGCCAAGGTATGTTAGCGAATGCAATTCCACGCGCTTATAAAGCCTGTTTTTCTGCTGGCTCCGCCTACAGATTTTGATTTATATATTTTTATCTTAATTTAGATAAAGATTTTGTGTGTGTTTTTTTTAACGTTTTCTTTTGTTTCGCTCTAAAAAGGCTTTTTTATTGCTAAGCCTTTATCTCTTTGTAGGAGGGGAATATGTAAGACAAAAAATATGAAACATAAAGTTTTTAGCTTTAATCCCCTTCCTGTCCTGAAAAACTTATATATGAATCTAATGTCCGTCATCTGAAAATTAATACATTTCAAATCTATGAAATCATGCTGCAATGCGGTTAAATTTCAGCCAATCAGACTAAAAATCTCAGCTAATCAGATTAAAGAAATTTTGTCTGTAATACCAGTGCTACTACTGCAAAAACCCTTTTATCTTCCTTTCGCTTGCTGGTGGCAACATGTGCTTTTCGCTCTGCTTTATTTGATTGTTACAAAATATGTAAGATATACGAAATAGTTGGGTGCGTATAACATGCATGATTAAAATATATTAGTCAACACTGTGCTTCTGAAAGTGTTTTACTCAGCAATAAGATTTTCGATTCGGCTACGTCTATATGCGAATGTCATCCTTGTATCTGCGCAGTCAACATTCCTATATCATACATATAAGTCTGCAATATTACATAAATATACATTATTTTCATTTGTATCCACTGTTGTCTATTTTTACATATATTTGTTTTCTCTGAGTACGAATGCATGTAGGGAAAGGATCTGAGCGCATCTGAGACTCATCTGAAATATCATTTTAAATTTAAATTAATGAATTGCAAAAGCGGTATAGAGTCTCAAATGGTTCAGAGGAACGAAACATGTATTCGGAACTCATTAATCAACTCATTTTAAAGCTTCAAAACATTTTTCCCTTGAAAAGTTCTGTTTGAAGCTTTTAAACAAAGGAGATTAATTTTTTCATGCATTTCTAGCACTTTGTATTTTTTCCAGTTTCTTACATGGTCATGTTTTTGATTTTCTTTGACTCACTTATGTTTTTTAACCGTCTACACTTCAATAGACGTAAGTCGGTTTTTGTGACCAATTTCGCGGAGATAAAAATATAGGTTCGCCTTTATATATTTTGGAATTAAGTTTATAGTTAATTTATAAGTTCCGAATTTTAAATTCATTTTGAAATTATTTTAATCTTGCAGCTACAGCACAGATTCGCCAATGTAATTTCTACAATTATAACTAGAGTATGTATATATATATATAAGCCAATAATTCATGATAATTTTAATAAGAATATATATATAATAAAAGCAAAGAAAAGCCGGAACACTGTTGATACGTTCGTAGATATTGATACTCTGATTGCGTAGTATGCTAATATGTTGACTTCGTAATATCTTAAAAAATTGGCCGTCGAGGCAGTTTTAATTCCATTTTTATTTTACAGTTGATGTTTGTGGCTACAAAGACTTGGCTCTACTCAAGAACATTTACATTTTTGATATTGTTCGAATAGGTACAGTGCTGAATGAAACAGCGTCTAAGCAACACAGAGGCAAAAGTAAGAAAAGATGGCGTAGTTACGCAATATGGAAGCACGGAAAGAGAAAAGTTCTGGTTTCCAATCATAACGTCACCACAGCTGCGCAGGCCATAGAATGATCTAGAAATGACGCAATCCAGAGAAATTACTACTATTTTTAAAACAGAGAGGGAGAATTGATGTTTTACCGTTAGATAAAAGTATAATTTTGATCTACATATTTTTATCTTACATATTTATCTTTTAATTTTAATATAGTTAACACCAGAAAGGAAAGAAATCTATTTTATGTGTAATTCAAAAGTTTAAAAGGATATTCAAATTTCAGATTCACATAGGATCATGGTTTGATCCAAATTTAATGTGCAGTGTTTATCTCCGATCATGGTTCACTGATCTTCGATCATGGTTTGATCTATAATCAATGAAACATTAGCTGGAATCAAGTCATATATTAGAAATTAATTAGAAATTAATAGAAGCATGATAGCAATTTGGGTGCTGTTACTGTCAGTGGAAAGTACTCTGTTCGAATTTTATTCGTAACACATATTTCTCAATTCTTGAATACTCTACCTGACATTGAAAATGGAACACAAAGAAGGAAGGGCTGGAACGTGATGAAACTCGGCAGAGAGAGACAGCAAGGAACAATAATTGATCTTTATTTCGAAATGATATACATAATACAGAGCGAGAACAGCGTCGGCTTAGTAGGTTGGTTAATTGGTTGGTTGAAATGAAAGGGATACCAGAGGATTCCTATAAGTAAAATAGGTATTTTTCCCTTTGCACTTCTATTTAGAGCTACCCCCTGTGATACTTCTTTGGCGAAATGAAGCAACTCCAATGATGGAACACAGCAATAACTTTTATTTAACACTCAAAAAAATGGCGACATACAAACCAGAAGAGAAAACATATTCTAACATTTAAAAATAAATTACATTCTTCGTGCGAGAGTCGCACGAGGCACTCAAGTCTGGTTTCAAATATTGCCATTCACAAATACCTTAATGTTCATCTATTTAAATTATTTAAACTACAAGATTTTAATATTATTTAAATCTGTTACAACCTCTCCCCCAACGGAGAGACTTTTACCGAAGGGAAAAGTTCTGTAAAAATTCGAAAGTTTATAAGCTCGGCTTCTGAATTATTTTAAAGAGAAGAGGTAACTTCTCTCATAAGTTTCCAAATTTTCAGGCCGAAAATTTTAAGTTTTAAACAAATATTTTTACACCACATTTAAATAGGAAAAAAATGGAGAATTGTTCAAATTAGTCTTCCTTTTTTTTCTTGACGGCGCCTAGATCTCTTCCATGGTGGACCAGTTTCCTCGGCTATAATTCACAG